CGATTAGTTCTCTGCAGCACCTTTGTTTCGCATGTATATATATATATATATATATATATATATATATATATGGTCTAACATGTGACTGGGACTGGTGTTAACGTGCCTGCTTTTATATGCGTGACTTGCTTATGCAAATTGAACTTCGGGCCCGGATAGTTGGCACGCCATATTCGGTTTTTGGGACAGTTTACTCGAGTAAGCGCATTGGTGCACTTTGCATTTCCTTTTCGCGTATGACGTGCTGTTCCTTATTCGAAGTAGATGTCCACGTTTGACGCCACGTTTTGCATTGTTCACCAATATCCCTGGATTTGTTGACGAAATAGGAATCAACCAGAACATTTCCTGTACCATTTGCGTTCCCTTGTTATTTTTTCTACCCTGTGACACTTCCCTGACTGTTATTCACTAATCCGGTTATTACGAAACGTTTTCTTTTTCCTAACGTCGCATTGTTACTCATTTGATTTACTCTAAGTCGTCTATTGCATTGTGTGCACTGTTTGTGATATTTGCTGTCAAGACTTTTTCGAACTGTGCTGTTGATTACTTTGAAGGTGAGACAAAATAGTCTATGATCACCCTGAATTCCCTAAATAAGATGAATCCTCTTCGGCTCCATAATCATCGTCGCTTTCTTGGAACTATCAGACGCTTAGCTGAAAGAATATATTATGCTGAGTTCTCTTTCCCTTATTGCGCACCTCATTCAGCCTCCAATTTTGGGTCAGTTACCCAATCTCTCGGAATTGTGGATGGATGACAACCAATTGAAATCTGTCCCGAAGGTAAGAAATCATATTACTCATCTCGATAGCAAACGCTCTACACATATTTAGTTTACCTTTTCCTACATTATTTTATCTTGATCATACTCTCAACCTTTTAAGTTACCATTTATCTTTTTATCGGTCTACCAAATGGATAGCTTGAAGATGGCGATCGGAGTCTTATAGGGTTAGCCACTCCAATTCCCGGGGCTTAGGTTGCCGGTTTACACCACTGAACGGCAGGTCCTCGTGACCATGGGGTTCGCCCCGTCTGCTGCTCATCACACTTAGGTGTGTAATAAAAAACCAGGCTAAAAACAAAAATTGTCGTATCTTGTCCTAACCTCTGAAGCCGTTTCGCTGCCATATGTATTAATGTCTCCAACCATCCAGCTACATAGTCGTTTGGACCCCAACATACTCTACCTGATCGTTCCCTGCATTTCTTCATGCCTCGTCTCTACATCATGTTGAACTTCACGTGATTTTCTCTATCCTCAAGTAGCAACTGTGAATAAGGCACAGTGCTGCCGGCAGTAGCTCTGCACGCGCCGCATGTTTCCTAACCACGAAATTGACCTCAGATGCACAGCGGTTTACGGAAACGTTGCTAACCCGCTCTCCACTCTCGCTCCAAAATATGTGAACATCGATGGTTAAGGAACTCCAACCAATGAACTGTTTCCATGCCCAGGTCGTTTGAACTCTTCATTACAATAATCTGCCTATCGACCAAGTTACTGCCACCTACGTTTAGCGTGGATTTTTTTCGCTGAATGGAATGCTTCGAACTCCGGCATTGTGTCTCCAGTGACGCAGTCTGACTATTCCGTGAGCCAACGGCTACTTCCTTTTCATTAACCATCGTAACCTGCCAGTTTTCAGTCTTAGGGCTTTTTCTGAGTTGAAGTTGCATATACCATCAGTTCATTTATTCATCTTGGCAGGTTGGATTTTTCGCTTTTATCCCATCAGCACTGTTGACTCCTGATAAATCCAATGTACTCGGTTCTTGAATCAAGGCTTACTGCACACCGAATTTCATCTATCTGATCTACTATGCCACTTCACAGTGCTCCTTGCTCACACAGAAGCTTTTCCTCATAGCGAGCGTAAACGGCTGGGTCACGCAAACCATGGCAGGCCAATCGGGGCTGCGATTTTTGCCGATGACCCATGATTCAAAGTATGACGCTCATCAAACCCTGTGCATGATCAAACTTAACGTACCTGCAATTTCTTATTTAGTCACGCCAATCACAACTTTCTGCTATGTGATCAATTTGGTTTAACTTGTCCATGGAACTAGAGTGCCATTTTGTGGTCTATCAAAAGTAGTATCGGAAGTTGATACTAACCAGGAACAGCCGATGATCTTCGTAAACTGAAGAAGTCGATCGCTTTTATCCGCTCATTGACGGTAGAGCCTAACTACCCGCTCCCCAGACAGGCTGCTGAGTCCCTCGATTTTCCAACCTGTTCGGCAAAACTTCCTGCTAGCACAAATATATCACAGTTCCGACTCAGTTCGATAAATTCCATGAATTTTTCGTAAAACTCATCTTTATATTTGTTAGAGTTACATTTGGTCTAAACATATGATGAGATGACGAACAAGCACCTTTTCTGGTGCTTCCCTTCCTAACACCAACCGAACTTTGAAGCCTCGTCGCGCAAAAACAATTACTAATGAAAGTCCAATCAATCCTTGAGATTTGTAGTGCTTTGTGATTCATAACGACATCTACTCCAAGTTCACTTAATGATTCAGCTTCATTGTCTCATTATGCGCGAAATAATTACCTCGAGGATCGACTCATCGCACTTAAGTGACTTATACTACGGGAACCCTGAAGTCGCTTCTCCCATACGCGGCAAACGTCGATTGCCTAGGAGTCCAATGTATGCGTAGGACTAATTTGTTGGCCAATCTGCACAAGATTTCTCTTGTTGAAAGCCGTTCTATTCGGAATTCGACGAGGTATCAACCTGTAATTTATGCGATGCTACACTAGTTATAATGCCACTTGGCAACGTGATTTGAAGAGTGTCAAAGAGCTATCTGAAGAAATGTTACGGACCGGAAAGTGAGACAAAGGGAGGTATTCATGCATAGAAGATAAAGAATTGAACAAATATGGAGATGTTTGAGAAGTATTCCACTTATCACTTCCCTCCCGCTCGATGAAATGAACAGCGCATTCCTGATTTATCCCACTCGATAACCGATGCATTATTGAATATGTTTAGTTTAAGTGTTCATTGGATCTTTATTTAAGGTAGTCCAAAAACTAGGCATAATTGCAGCCGCTCTTTAGTGTTTACACACTCTTGGTTGTTGTGTTTTTCAAGGCGTTGCTTTTTTGTTCGGAATAAGTTACTTGGAACGAGTGTATATGTCCTTTTGCATAATCTTTACATTTGGTTACGTTTATCTCCTCCGCTAAGTTGTCTCTCTGAAAGGCTATTCAGTGTTGCTATACACTGAATTTTCTACCAATCTAGAAGATAACTTACACCTATTTTGCCATATTGATTGGAGCCCGTATAATTTCACGGTGGCATGAATCAGCTGGATAATTGCAGAATGTGTTGAGTTCAACCGTTTTCTGCTAATCTCATCAGTTTTACTCATACATTCAGATCGCGTTTGGTTGCAAGCATGACAAGTCTATGAACAACCCATTACTCGCTGACAGGAGAGTCCAATAGTAATCAAATCACGAACTCCCGGACTGGGTTGAGGACAGGGGCAGAGATCGTCATCATTATAAGGGAACCAGCCGCAGTCTCACCATCGTAGATCGGGGCTAGCACGAAACGGGCCCGCTTATACAGATCCTGTTTGTAATGTGCACTAATAGCTGCCATTGCACCGCGATAAGCGGCTGCTCTTCTGGAGGAAAAGCTGTTTTGGAAACTTGCATCTTTCGCCATCTATTACATGACGGGCGATTAAACGAGACGGAAGCATAAACCGTTTTGATGTCGGTTTTTTGTGTGCATGTTCTGAGATCCTGTTAGATAATCGTATCTCAGTTTCTCCGCTGTGCGTGTTAACAAAATTGCACTAGGAGGTGGTAAACATCTTCGTAGGTAACTGAAGGGTCGGGTTTGTTCAAATCGAATCCGGGGAGCGTTTGTCTCGTTCTATGTCTTATAATATTATTGTGGAAGCAGCGTTATGGGTCTGATCATGTGTCTGAACGTATGTGCACAGTTGTTGAGATTACCACGAAATAGTTGGATTGACCATACCTTGCAACCACGATGCTTCTTACTCTCGTGAAACTATTGAAGGAAACTGGTTTTTTTGTCCCGTCAAGATCTTACGCTATGGATTTGTTTTCATTACAGGAGTTGGGCAATATGAAACGACTTCAACAACTAGATCTATCGGAGAACCTCATTGATGCTTTACCGGAGGAGGTAGCTGGTCTAACCTCTCTATCGGATCTCAATTTGTCACAGAATAGTTTAAACTGTTTGCCTACGGGATTCGGTAAGTCCGCACCCGGTGTCACCATTCAGTTTAGAAATGTCCTCCATCTGGTCTAGGTATGATATTTTTGTCTCTTCTTTTCTTTTTTCCTTATCTTTTTCTTCCCAAGTTGATCCACTTTTTAGATCCTTGGTTACTGAAATCTTGGTTCTGACGTTTTCACTGATTGCTTTGTGTGTTACGCGTCTGGCGTCATATATTTGGCTTAATAAATGCTAGCTGAGGTTAGGAAATGGGTCTTTGCTAAAAGGCTAGAAGTCAATGGAATAGGTCTTACCAGTTAAAACTAGTGGGATACACTGGGAGCGTGAACATCGAGTGTGAGTAACTTCAACCCATTTCATGGTCATTGGCACGATGCCCTACCGAGTTGTCTTTATTCTCCTATTTGTTTGTTTCTATCCTCTATTGGTCCTTCTCTGTCACTTTACTCTTATTGCTGCTTGCACAAGAAGAATGATGACCATCTCGGACTCGTTTGTTTTGAATAACTGTTCTGTTCGATTCGGTTAGACTAAACGCTAATCTTGCGCAGTGACGCTGGTATCTGTCTGTGATAGTTACCTAAAGACGACATGTAAGTGCGTTGAGGAAGCAATGAAGTGCAGCAAGTGCAATGGGCTAGGAAATGCACAAATGCCTCTGTATGTGACGATCGACCGTGCAGCTTAATGCAGCTTAAGTCATTGATTGGGCATATCTTGCGTTCCCCAGCAACCCGTTTCAGCGTGGCTTATTCCATCCGATCCATTGTTTCGAGTCATCGTGTTTTTCGCCCAGTCATGAATTGATCGCTCTTCACCCTGCGCAAACCACTAATCATCGCAACACACGTCACACCGATAAAGTTTATATGTGGGTATGCTCAATACGCGTTCCAACCATTTGTTTCAGTGTCCAGTGGATTGGACGGTGATGTTCCGTACCCCCAGTATCGACCGTACTGATCTGGTTATCCCTTATACGTATCTCGTGTTGTGAAACTATCATTGTTTGACCACTAATAGTGTTCAATGCAGCAGCATTCGTTCGATCCGAGAGAAATCAACGGAGGACCTTGCACAACAACCCTCTGATCACGGCGATTGTCCAAATAAAATTTTATTTTCCTCGGTGATAGTTCCACTGCAGCCACTATGAAACTGAAGCAGGTAGGGGTGGTGGTGGTGGTGGTGGTGTGTGTGTGTTAGCAGGTTCCCATTGGGGAAATGAAGAAAAACGGTTGACAAATAAGAAATCAAGAACGACAAGAACGTTCACCTACCTTGGTCTCGGCATCCTGGCAATATCGGGCCCACAAACAAATCACAACTTTTTTCATAAAGATCATTGTACCGTCATTTGTTTGCAGACAGTCTGCACTGAGACGTGATATATATGGCAATGTTTTTGGCGCAAAATGAATAGTCATAAAACCAAAGTGGAGCTGGTCTATGCTGTACAAAGACCGCAATGCGTTTGATGCTCTACCCGTTTAACCATGACATTGTATTGCTAAGTGAAGATACAGATAAGTTGTAGACTGTTCTGGATGGCTTGAGCGCCGACATGGCCATGTTCGATATGCGTTTTGCACGCACAAAGTGTAAAATGGTACTACAAGACTGGGTTGGTCCAGCACCCAGTCTCATCCTAGCCGGGTAAGTAGTAGAGCAAGTGGATAAATTTTGCTATCTGGGCAGCTACATCTCACCCGATGGACGCATCACGGATGAACTGTCAGCTCTCATACAGAAGGCTCGGTTGGCAATTGCCAACTTGAGACATCTGTGGCGCCGTCTCGACATCCGGCTATCTGTGAAGGGTCTAGTGTATACCGCGACAGTTTGGCCAGTCCTGCTATACGGTGCAGAAACTTGGCCACCGGTATCTACGCAGCATTGCACGAATCTGGTGGGTCAACCGGACGAGCAATGCTGAGGTTAGGCACAGAGTTTTAGGCAGTCGCGGTTGCCCACTGGAACAAGTAATGGACCTCCATAGATCACGTTGTTTGGGACATGTGTTACGCATGTCACCAGATAGATTACCACGGTGAGTGATGTTTTCCGAGGCAGGTAGCGGTTGGAAAAAGATCAAAGGTGGTCAGTCGAAGACCTGGCATGGGGGTAAGCAAACCTTAACCAGGAGTCTAGGCCACAAAGATCCTGTTAGGCTCCCTGGCTGGGGACCTCGGGATGATCGTCACTGATGGTGATATGGCTGAGTGTCTTAAACAGTGATGTTCATGTATTTTCTCAATTCCTTTGCAAATTTGTCCATTGAAATTCTTAATTTTCTTTTCGGCTCTTCTTCCAACGTTGTCTTTCTCCTACTGTTCATCCAAATGGGCTGCCAGGAGACAGTAACCAAAACCTGTGCACGAAAGTGTATGGTTAATGGTCGTTCAAACTGAACTGAACTGTTTATTCATGAGCGAACGTGTGTCTAAACTGCTCTTTAGACCTTAATAATTATTAGCCATCTAACGAACAATATTTCCCGATCAGATTCACTGAAAAACTGACTAGGTTCGAATAAATTTCTATGTGGTTTGTACGGAAAGATCTTGGCCATAACTCTGTTGCTGTCCGGTTATCCTTTAGGAGGTAATGATCAAGGGTTAAAGTCGCTGGCACTGGATTGCTTCGGATTTCAAATTCAGGTTGAAACCATAGCACTGCCTTTCAGTTTATTAATAAACATCCTGTCTGTCTACCTGCCCGATACCTTTTAGACCTCAACTGTTTTTCCACACCAACTCCCAGGATTTAGTGGTTCTTAAGACTGTTTGGTAGATCCTCATTACTATGAGGTTCCCCATTTCTACTTCCGATCACTAAAGAGAAAAGTGATTGCGAGAGCAATTCACCATAAAGGAGATAAGGCCCCAGAAGGTATACTTTATTGAACGTACAAGTGAACTTCAGGATAAGTTTAGGAGAACGAGGATACAACAGCGTAGTTTACACTACCAACGGTTTGATATGGCAATTACGCAACTACGTGTGATACCAGCTTAAACCACTTGACCTCCATTGTCCTTACCGTATCTGGTTTCCCGGTAAGGATCGTTGAATCAACTCCATTTGTGACTAGAAATATAAATATCTCAATTGATCTTAGGGATCATTTACGTTAGCGCACCTACCTATTTCCCTCCACTGAGTCCTTTTATCCGCGACTTTTTTATGGCATGCATCTTCGGTCTTGTTTTCGGTGCCAGTTCAGGTGATTTGAGAAACTAAATCCACCGGAAACAGCTTTAAAATGCAAGGTTAGCTGCTATACAAACTGAATTAAAGTTTAAACTATTTGTACGGTGTTATCGGATTACAACTCAAGTATCTTCTCACGGTCGTTTTCCTGAAGGAATATCGAGTTCGGATTTCGTTGTTCGGATGGTCTACTACTGGGATCGCTTGACTGTCAGCGCCCAGATTATCCTGTTTCAAAGCCAGCTTGCAGCTTTATCGGATCAGAGAGCGCCAATTCTATAGAAGCTTGTACGTTCATGCACCTCTACATTAAAGCGGCATAAAGACAGCGTATGAAAAGTGGATATAATGTCATTTACCACTGATTGTTCTGTTTATTTCTTTCATACATGCTTGTTGCTGTGACAGATTTTCACAATCCTGTTTTCTGTTGTAAGTTATTAATTGTGCTCTTTTCCACGTGGTGCTAGTTTTCCGAGTTAAACTTGGACCAAGTACTGTTGGTTGAAGATAAGGAAAATTCTTTATTTTTCTCGGCAGGTGAATTGAAGAAGCTGGGCGTTTTGAAGCTCAATCAGAATCAACTGCTCACATTGAATCCTGCTATTGGCGGGTAAGTTTAAGCTACCTCATCAGTTTCGGTTCACTTTGAACCACCATTAACCATGCACTTTCGTGATGCGGTTTTGGTTGCAATTTTTTTCCTGCCCGTTTGGACGCAAGAGTGGAAGGAGGAGTGGAATGTTGAGAATAGTGTGCAGGGGAAACTAGGGTATTACTGTAGATCAAGATTACGGGGACAACGAGTAGAAGCACGATGAACACTGTTACCGACACTCAGCTGTATCTTTCAGTGTCTTTAATCATCTATTTCAATGACCCCGAGTTGCCCTTTCGGGAAGCTGAGGACTTTCATACCCTAATACTAGGTCGTAGTTTGACCACTCTTGACTGTTTTGCACCCATTACCTACGTCGCAAAATCGTCACGCGTCGTGGCGACCTATTTGTTGACATGCGTAACATATGCCCCACCTGACTCGTGCACTACTGCATAGGCAGCGGTGTTCGAACACCGATAGTCTGTCTTTATCTTGTTTTCGTACTGGTCATTTTTTTATGCCGTATAGCAGTACTGACCGAACTGCAGCAACATACACTTAACTGTTTACTAAGTGCCGGATGTCGCGACGGCGCCACAGATCAATTGCCAATTGTCAGTCCAGCCTGTATAGGTGCCGACACTTTATTTAGGATGCGTCCACCGGGTGAGATATACCTGGCCGAATTAAAAATCTTGTCCACTTGCTCTATTACTTCCCCAATTAGAGTGATTCTGGGAGCTGAGCTAGCCTAGTCTTGTAGCAACATTTAGCAGTTGGAATGTGCAAAACGCCACACTGGCACTCAACCTATGCAAAAGCTTGCAACTTACCTGAATTTCACTTAGCAGTACAATGTCGTCTGCATACTCCGGATCATACTGCTTACCGCCCGAAAACAACTCCATATCACTATCCTCACACGACGAAAGTGCTGTTCTCACAGTCAAATCGATAACAAAGTTAAATAAAAAAGGAGAGAGAGCAACCCTGACGAAAATTACCTTTTTTGGTGGACTCTGGCGAAAATGTGCAGTAATCTCGAACTCGGCTTCGGTTAATATTATAAATTGATCGTGGTAGTGAAATAAATTTCTTGGGCGCCAGAGTTAAGAGCAGTCGACTGAGTCGAAGCCCCGTTTCAGAAAGGAGGAAGATAAGGATGATGGGTCTCCGAAAGGAGCGTCTGTGTTCTAAAATTTGGCTCTCGACCAGGTCTAATCTGGTCGAGTTTGTATAGACCACAATTCCATCCTCCTCTAAATAGACCACAGCCTGGTTCTCACGCGTGTACCGCTCATCTGCGGCAGACAGTCAATGTATTACAATACCGGCGAGAAGTTTAGAGGCAATGTTGATTAACTAATTCGTCAGTCGTTTTCACAAGAGGACCTGTCACCTTTCTTGTGAATCGGTAAGACGACCGATTCACACCATTCAGATAGAACCTGTCACCTCACCTACACAGCGCCCATTAATTTCGTTTACTCAAAAGCGGAGGCTGAACCTCCTTAATTGACTTCACACCTATTTTCTTTGTGCCCGTATTAGTAATGCAACCTAAAAGATGGCGACTATTACCGATAGTCGCAACCTATTCCTTATCTTGATATTTCTCTATCCACCACTTCTCACTGTCATTGGTCAACCTCTTGATCGGCTGGCGTTCAAGGGATTCACGAGCGTCGAGCACGGCATTCGNATCTGTTTAGCTTTAATCGTGCCTTAGAATCCGTCGTTATTTTGATTGACATTTGTATCGCTTCCTTGATTACCAACCAGTATTCACTGATTCCTTCGCCTGATGGTTCAGCTGAGAGGCGATCCGATAGTTCTGCTTCGAAAGCCGCTTTGCGACTATCGCTGACATGGTGTTGTGGGCATCGACGTATGTAGGGTAACATCTAACTTCACTCTTTTGTGTGTTGTTTTTTAACTCTGATGCACGCGTTGATAGAACTCCTGAGATATGCGTTAGATAAGAACAGTTGGAAGAGTCCAATTCTCTTGTTCATAGCTCCGTTGTGCTGCAATGTGTGTTCACTTGGTGGAATAGAGTTCACACACATCTTTCCAGGTGGTACGAGGGGTGGTTGCTGTTGTAATTGAGGATGCGGTCTGCCGTGGTCAGTTTTCTGTAGACTGTGGTTTCTATTCTTCTGTAGGTTGCCTCATGAGAAGGATATCGAGGAATGTGAGTTGACTATCTTTCTCTTGCTCTCGTGTGAAGTTGATACCAGACACCTGCTCGTAGATCATTTGTTAGAACTGATGTACCATGGAAGCTCTGAGTGTGACGAATGTTTCGTCGGCATACCGTATCCACAGACGAGGTTGTAGAATTTCAAAAGCTTTGGCTTCGAATTATTTCATAACCACATCCGCAAGCAGGCCTGGAATTGGCGAACCCATCGGAGTTCCTCGTATATGCTGGTTCACTTTTCCGTCGAATTGGGAGCAAGTTTCCACACTGAATTCTACGAGTTTCACTAGTTTGTCTAAAGATAACGTCGTTCTTGATTGCAAATTTTGGTCGGTTAGCAACGAGTGTTGAATGCTTTCAATGGCCATCTGTTTCGATCTGTTGTTTATGTCGGAGGCCATCACTTCGTTCGATCGTCAGTTCCGTGAGACCTTTTGTATCATTTTGGTTCGCAGGTGGCGATGGAAGAGGTACCTTGCGAGGTTTTACTTGGGTGCTGTTGTGAATGTGCCAATGCGTCGTAGTGGTATATGGGGTTTGTGCCTCTTCGGTAGTCCAAGGAACCATGGTGTCCGACTTTCTGTAGGTTTGACTCGTCTTGTTTCTTGTTTTTCTTGAGAATGGTTAGTTGATTCCTCAATTGCTTAACGGGATTCCCGTTGACTGGTCATTACGTATCTTTGTCTTCGATGAGTTGTTTCATCTTTTCTGCGTATTCTGTTTTGTCCATCGGTGCGGTTGCGGTGGCTTTTCTGCCCAAAGGACGATAATATCGGAGTCCTTTCTCAGCGGTTTCAGTGCTCTCATTTCGGCATCAGAGATCGACTGCGACTGTTTGGGTTGGATGAGTTGTTGGCATATTTTGACTCTAATGTCTTCTCTTTCTTCTTCGGGTAACGAGCAATTTCTTAACCGTTCTCCACAAACGCGATAAAGCCAGTCTGTTTGACATTGGTGTGGTTGAATTCCAGGCTCTTCATGAGAATTACTGATTTTTTTTTACATCAGTTGGTGTTTGGAGAAGTTGAGAATCTGCTCGAAATACCCAGAATGTGCTGCAATTAAGCCATCAAGTTTGCTGTTACGTCTCCGTGTTTTCAAACGGATATATATATATATATATATCCTGATGTACATTGAATGAGTCGGTCGAATGCAGCGCTTCAAAGATCAGATGTTCCTCCTTCGTCTTTGCCCTTGCCTGCCAATAATTTTACGTCGTTGATTCCGACCTCGTGGCCTGTCGTTGCGCAGTGCACCAGAGGTGTGACTTCAGGTCATCGCATCGTAGTGCAAATGTGTGCTCATCCAAGTGCAGTGTTTGCCTGCCTCCTGCTTAACGATGGTCACAGTCTAGGGACAATTGCGTGTACCATCCGTGATTGGTCGTGTGGTTCTACATGGTCATTGCCGTTGGAGAAAATTGATCGTAGTGTTGTTGTACGGTGCAATTGCTCCATAGTTTCACATTGTCATGCCCCTCATCCTTGACCTCAAACAATTAAATCCTTTCTGACCTTCTAATCGATCTGATTGAATCATTTTCCGCAAGTTGCGCAACTTGGAGTCCCTCAAAATGACGCGAGACTGTCTGATCACCGGCTCGTAATGTTTGTGATGATGTGGTTGTCACCTGTAATCCAGCCATGTGATGATGGCACTCCTGTTGTGCCCAGTCAAAGTTCGCGAGGCATCCTAAATAATCGAGGTTGTGGACAAGGTGCAGGTTCTCATTCAGGTTAGCTGGACATTAGTCATATCCCTTGTTACAGCTGAACTATCCTACCGATCGTGTAATTTTCGGATCTGCATAGGAGGATAAATTATGTATCGTATGCTCCTTACGCGTTCACAGATAATTATCATAAGAGAATCGGTTATGAAGCGATACATCATCCGGGCACTTTGGAATATATATTTCACACACGTCTAAATCCAGACTGCGCCTAACAAATCATGGTAAAATAATCTTCATTAAAATGAAAAACGTCCCATGAGTTTCGTGTGAACCGAATACTGCCAGGTTGCCCAGACCAAGGCAGGTGAATTTTGTTGAGGAATCGACAACCGGAGCCTTTGGCTAGCCAAAGTCTAACCCGCAAGGCGGCGGGGCGGTGTGTGAAAACCGCAATCCATTGCGGGCTGGTATCCAGTTTATCGGATCATACGCCCTTTGGGCGGGTCAAACGTCCAAGGTGCTCAATACACCTCGATGCCCATTCGAGCCGGTGACCACTGCCACAACCGGGAAGGTTTAGGTATGGTTTGTACGTCTCTTTGTGCGATATGACATCACGTCAATACTTGACTCGTTTAAGATACAGGGACTATTTTTTTAAGCGGGCCGGAAAAATAGATGTCATAATTAAAAGTCAAAGATCGCTCATAGTTGAATCGATATCATATTCAAACATTGGACGTGTTTGAATTATGGACTCCAATATCTACTTTATAGTGTACACAAAGCTTCTTAGGTGGCACGCGGGATGATTGCTGTCGTAGTTCAGCATCTGATCGGTTGTTGTCAGTTTCTTGTGCACAATGGTTTCCGTGTTTCCGTCTGGTTTTCGTATGGTGAGGTTTTCCAAGGAAGGGAGTCTCATGTCGTTTGTCTCCTAGCGGATAGATGCTATCCCTGGCATAACCTTGTTTAGATCATGGGATAGTTCGATTCTTGCTGCCGGTGGCAGTAGGTACTATCGAATTACGAATATATATAACACCGGCTTGCGAACAAGCATGGTGCCAACGCAGGAACAATAATAACAGAGAGCGGAAGGGTTGGGATACAAACAGAGTGAAATTGGATCAAACAATCACAGTAGGTAACATGAACAACATTTTTCCTCTGTTTCACCATACACTTTCTGATATTTTTGTGTTTCTTTTTCTGCGGG